GTAAGCCCCGCCCCTTTCAGATCCGTCAGAGGCTCCGCCCACCGAGCAGCCGGATGAAGGCGAAAAGCGATTGGCTGAGATGTTGCCCCACCTCCGCGACTTCGCCAACCAATGCCGGAGCCGCATCGAGGCTTGGCCCCGCCTCCAGGCGCTGGTCAGCCAATGGTGAGAAGCGTCGTTAGGTGAGGGGGGCGGGGCTAATGGGGTTTTGGCCACGCCCACGATTTCTGGCTTCTCCTTCCATTCCAGGTGGGAGCAGCCGGCGCAGTGGGTCCTGGCCACGCCCCCCGGGAGCGTCCCCTTCTCTCATTGGTTGGAACGCTGGGCACGTGCTACCCGTAGCCACGCCCCTTCCGGACTGCAGAGCAAGCCCCGCCCCTGAGGGAAGAGTGCCGGCGGGGGGCACTGTGCGCTGTGATTGGCTGAGCGGAGCGTCAATAAACGATTGCAACCAATGGGAGTGTGGTGCGGGAGGGGCTTGAAAAGGACAGCCAATGGGAGTGTTGTGGGGGAGGGGCTTCACGGGGACAACCAATGGGAGTTTGTGGGTGGGGCTTTACGGGGATAGCCAATGGAATTGCTGTGGAGGAGGGGCTTTGCGAGGACAACCAATGGGAGTGTGGTGGGGGTGGGGCTTCACGGGGACAACCAATGGGAGCGTGGGGGCGGGGCTTCTGGAAATAAGCCCATTAATTACTGCATCAATGGCATGAGTCCAATTAAGATGCCGTAATTAAAGCAGGACCTACGGAAACTGCATGTAAGCAAACCCAGGTCCCCACTAATTACCTCGCTAATGAGATGGGCCCAATTATGAGTCCATAATTGAAGTAGGACCTACAGATACCCCACATAAAGAAACTCGGACCCCCATTAATCACCTCGCTAACGAGATGAGCCCAATTAAGACGCCGTAATTAAGTAGGACCTACAGAAACCCCAACGAGCTCGGATCCCTATTAATCACCTTGCTAACGAGACGGACCCCGTGACGCCATTCATTAATTAAAGCAGACGCCACACCAAACCCCGACGTAACCAAAACCCCCTTTGGCCCTTTAATTCCAACTCCACCGCCATTTTGGTAGGCCCTACAAAATCCAAGATGGCGGCCAGGATGAACTGCAATCCAAGATGGCAGCCACGATGAAGATGGCAGCCATGAAAACCCCAATCCAAGATGGCATCCACGATAAACCCGAGTCCAAGATGGCGGCCATGATGAACTACAATCCAAGATGGCAGCCACAAAACCCAAATCCAAGATGACGGCCATAATGAACCCGAATCCAAGATGGCGGCCATGATGAACTGCAATCCAAGATGGCGGCCACGATGCAACCCCAATCCAAGATGGCGTCCATGATGTAATCGCAATCCAAGATGGCGGCCATGATGAACTGCAATCCAAGATGGCAGCCACGATGCAACCCCAATCCAAGATGGCGGCCACGATGAACTGCAATCCAAGATGGTGGCCACCATAAACCCCAATCCAAGATGGCGGCCACGACAAACCCGAATCCAACATGGTGTCCATGATGAACCGCAATCCAACATGGTGGCCACGATAAACCCCAATCCAAGATGGCGGCCATGATGAACTGTAACCCAAGATGGCAGCCATGAAAACCCAAATCCAAGATGACGGCCATAATGAACCCAAATCCAAGATGGCGGCCACGACGAAGATGGCGGCCATGAAAACCCCAATCCAAGATGGCGGCCACGACAAACCCGAATCCAAGATGACGGCCATAATGAACCCGAATCCAAGATGGTGGCCACGACGAAGATGGCGGCCATGAAAACCCCAATCCAAGATGGCGGCCACGACAAACCCGAATCCAAGATGGCGGCCATGATGAACAGCAATCCAAGATGGCGGCCACGATGAAGATGGTGGGCATGAAAACCCCAATCCAAGATGGCGGCCACGATGAACCGCAATCCAAGATGGCGGCCACCATAAACCCGAATCCAAGATGGCGGCCACGATGAAGCCCAATCCAAGATGGCGCCTAGCGCAGGCCCAGCTTCTTCTTCTCGCGCTGCTTCTTGCGCACCACGTCCAGGTTGCGCTCCTTCCACATGCTCTTCCGCAGCTTGATGGGCCGGCTGCCCACGTACTTCCCTGCAACCCCACAAAGACCCCATAGAGACCCCATACAGACCCCATAGAGACCTCATACAGACCCCATAGAGACCCCACGCAGACCCCATAGAGACCCCATAGAGACCCCATAGAAATCCCATAGAAACCC